ACCCACATCAGAAAATTTTGAAGACTAAACTGAGTCTTTACCCAAGATCCAATCTTTTATCCGTTTTCTCCTGGAGTACGTGTCCCTCACATCGGTCCAAAGTCCCTTCTATTTTTCTTGGAGGCTAAGTCACCTTGTGAGTCATTTTTACATCTTGCACAAGACCCTCATAATTTGTTCGCGGGAAACAAAACAAAATCAGAAGGAAGATAAGTGAAAGAAGACGAGAGCTGTTGAGGAATAGGCCACAACCTTTTTCCCTTGATCAAGGATAGGCCATGTCGCCTAACATCAAAAAAAAAAAAGAAAGAAAAAGAGGCCAGTGAACCGAGGAGCATTGCAACAACTGAGCGAGGATAGTATTTTCGTTTGGACAAGACGATGCCACGTCGCCCCTTGCCGTACCTTTTTTCCAAATTCATTTGACCAAGAAAAAGCCAGACCGCCCACCGCCACATCATTTGCAGCTTTTCTTGAACAGGAAGAGGCCACGTCGCCTCGCTTTTTGGGGAAACAATCAAAAACATAAAAAAAAAAAGGTGAGCGGGGGGCCACGAACATGACCATCATGTGGGGCCACAAGCCACCATGACCGAACTCGAGCTTTTCGCTGCAGCCGAGTTTAACCGTGACAGGATCCAAACTCTAGACTGAAAAACCCAGATTGACCTCGGTTAATAAGTTTCAAAGCCGCTACCGAGGTCCGATCGGCTCACGCACTACTCGGGTTTGTCGGACATGAAACTCACTTCCCATTTGCTGCCGGAACCCGACATCTCCATCTCCAACTTCAGTTGCAGCCACCGACCTCATTTTCTTTGACACCTCATTTCCTTCGGCAGCCGCTGATCTGCATAAACCGAACTCGAAGCATCCGACCACAGTCACCGGGGCCCAACCTCACTCCCATGGCCGACCTCTGACGTTACAGCAGCCGCTCCTACTTCAAAGTCGGGGCCGACCTCACCACACAACCTCGACCGACTTCATCTTCTACAAACAATCGACGTCGGACGCTGAAGCAGAACTAACCTCGTACTCCCGAACTGACCTCAACAACACAAGGCCCACCTCACTCACCGACCGACTTTGCGAGCCGAAACCGAATTAGGGCGGAATTACCGACTGTTGTAAATAATTTTAACCGGAGTAGAATCCAAAGATTCGACACCGGGTCGTATCACGAGGAAGGTTAGCCGGAGTATTCTGTACGTGTATTCAATCACACCAAATAA